GGATTGACCAGCTATACATGAATTTTAATGAAATTCCAGATTCTTTGTGGAATGTTGGGCAATTTCTGAACATTTACACTTAGAATCTGGAAGATAGAGTTGAATGTTTAGGTCACGTAAGCGGGCTTGGAGAATTTCACACTTACAGGACATATTCAAAGTAAAATGCGGGCAAGCTACCTGGCGAGCTGGCATGAATTGATCTTGGTTCAAGGAGCGTGGGGATGATAAAAAAACAAACGTTACTAACTGTTGTGGATTCCGGGTTGAAATCCGGAAACAATAAATAACAAACGCCAGGAATGAATATATGAAAATAATGTATTAACGTAATAATACAAACTGGTATAGCATGTTAGTAGTTCCAGGAATACGGGTTACTAGCCAAATATCTATACAGTCTTTGGTATTGAAGTATCGCTGTATGACTTCTTACTGAGTCTACGTGCTCGCTCACTGTGACTTCTACAACGCTGTTACCTCACCCCTCACTCTTCAGGTTACCTACAACCTTTTATTCTGTCACTTTGGACTCGACTCTTCGGTCTTGCTCCCTCGGGTCTTCACATAGCCATAGTATATGTGTATACTGGGTGAGTCGATTTGTGTAAAAAGGGGAGAACCCCTCAACACTAACAGATCCAGAGAGTAGGAAGTTGTGGAGAGCCACGATTGCCCATGTCCTGAATAAAGACGACATAAAGAAGACAGAAATATTAAGTGTAGACAGTATTAGGATTTTATATATATACCATGAAATACGGCAGTTTTCTCTTCTCGGTCGCATGTTGGAAATACAATATTAACCTTAGCACAATGTAATACCTGCTCGATAGCTGTACGAAACACATTGAGGATCGATCTCCTTACTCTACTAAACTGGCCTGTGAGAGACAATTTCGTAATAGGCTACAACAGGAGTTTCAAACAAATATACATATATTCTTACACACACAAACAATCACACATATATATATGTATTAGTGTGTGTGTGTGTGTGTGTGTGTGTGTGTGTGTGTGTGTGTGTGTGTGTGTGTGTCTATTTATGTTATGATTATCCCTGTAGAATGACCGACCGGCTGTTTTTTGTAGCAAGTAGGATTTTAGGATGTGGAGCTATTCACCCCAGGCCAAACCGGAGCGGTTTTGACTTCAAAGACGTCCCCCTCCTATTTTTTTTATCGTTTCACCACAAACAAGACAATAATTCCACTAAGACGCATGGGGTTACTGTGTTTGAAAGAATATAACAATAAAGAAAACTTTATTAAGCCGCGAAAACGATAAAAAAGAGGAATCAAGAAGACAGAAGATGACGTTTGCCATTGCATTTAAATTTTTGAAGATCGAACATGACTGGAAATCAAGAAGCCAGAAGAGAATTCTACAAGCGAGAAAAGAAACTGTTAGCATAAAACCTACAGTTATATTTAGCCATTTCAACTGTAAAGTGATGAGGTCTTGCCACCAATCTAGTACTGCGCCTAAATTCATAAAGTCTGGGTGCCATAAAGGAAATGTCATCAGAACAATTACAATGAAAATATTTATAGAAAAGGTAGAAGGAAGTTACATTATGATGGCGGAAATGTGACTGAAGCCGAGGTGGCAGGTAAAAACCAATAACATTGCAGATTCTTTTTTGGATTTTCTGGATTTTGAAGATCTCTAAATATATAGCAAGATCACCAGACTATATGTGGCATCAATATTCAAAGAATGAACTATTGTTAAACTTTTAAATATGTAAGATAGTGTCTGGCGAGAGAAACTGTCTCGCACGTCACATTGAAACAACTTTCCGATATATATATATATATATATATATATATATATATATATATAGAATGAGGAAAAGACTCACATATTCATCATGTAGTCAGTTATAAATTTATTTCAGCAGATATATATATATATATATATATATATATATATATATATATATCAGGTAAGATGAGAATGAATACAAATGAGTACAATTTCAACGTTCGTAACATTTAGTTTAAAAGGTATTCATATAAGATATTAATAACACTAACCAATCAATGTAAAATATCAAAAATACCAACCAAATACCAATACATCCGTACAAAATGTTACTAATACTATCAGGAGATTAATACAAAATTATATTAAATCCAACTTAATCTTACAAATAAAAAGATAAGCCATATATGATGCAACGCAGTACAACCGTTTTTAAAATTTCGACATAAAGACAAATTTAAAATCCATAATATAAATGGATATAATCGTGACGTCACACATGAGCACGTGAGAGCGAATTCGAGAAGTATTAAGTATGGGAAGCCGTTCGTATAAACCAATGTCTTCTGTTATCATTTATAGGCATTTAAAAATATTTGTGGAGATTTCGTAGTTTATTTTGTTCAGGTTAGGTTTCAACTGTTTTATGTATATAGCGTCAAGAATTTTTAGTTTTTGTTTATTGTTTTCATGTTTAAGTATAGTTGTGTATTCAACGAGAATTTTCCGGAATTGTGTACGCGACCACGTATGTTGTTTTAAATACCTAAAAATGTCAGAGTTATCATTCAAATATAGAGTCAAGCGTCGTGAAAGCGAGTTTGTGGTGCGACGTGATTTTTGCTTTTTCGTCTGGTATACAGGAGTTCGTCGTTGCTTTGAAATTTTGCATGCAACAAAAACAGACTATCATTATTGTTTCGTCCGTGTATTGGTTGATATATTGAAAAGTAATTGTCATCTTTGATAATGGCTTCTGCAAGCCGAAAGCTTAGATTGGATTTAAACATGTCATTAATATTAACCACTGAATTGAAATTCATTGAAAGAAAAAGGGAAAATGTTAAAAAGATGTATTAGGTAAAATGAACGTTTTCTTCAATATTAGGTTACGAATATTTTGATAAATTTTGATAAGCCAACTTAGAATTGGATTGATGGGAACAGTTTCAAATATTTATGAATGAACATAAATTATGAAGCCGACCTAAGTCTGGCATCAGACCACATATTTAGGGACACCTATCAGGATCAAACTCTTACACATTAGATTTGCTAACCATCACTTTAGAATAATTTCAGATACAATCTTTCATAAGATAATATTGAGAGAATAAATGGAAAACATATCTCTTACAGCGGATACATGGCGTTGTGAGTTCAATATGGACATTCTGAAGTTCATCGCTGTAATTCTTATTTTATTTTTTCTTTCTTTTGATAAGATAATCTTGTAAATTGTTAAACATTTAAGATTCTTACTGATTTGGATGATAGATTAGAGGCTGGAATGTCATGTTTAAAACAAATAACTAATCGTATTTTATCCTCTCCCCGCCCCCAAAAGAATATATTTATTCGCGGCATTCACCTGTCAGGTAATTGGGTGATTTTACCCGTGTGACTAACATCAGCCAATAAGTATTGCTTTTCTTCTTCTGTCGGTACAACGCGAAAAGAAAAAAAAGTGTTTCGTTGAAAATTACGATAGAGTAGTCGCTAAAAAGTGCTTTTAAGTAAAATGGATGGTGTGTGCGTCCATCAAGTTGCCAATGATGAGAAAAACGATAAAGGAAGAAAAAAAATAACAGTATGTCTAGACAAAAACAGATACAACCAACAATTCACCTTTTATTGTTTTTCGGAGATATTTCTTTTTTATTTCATTTTGACTTTCGTTTTTATCTTGAATCGACTGGCATTCTTTTCTTCTTTTGCCAACTATTCAAAAGCCATTACTCTCTTATATTACTTACTACTGCACTAGATTTACACACGCACTCCACCCACCCTACACACACACAAGCACACACACACACACATATATATATATATATATATATATATATATATATACACACACACACATATATATATATATATATGTGTGTGTGTGTGTGTGTATATTATTTCAAAAGATTTGATTTGACAACATAAAGTCGATCTACCTATTACTGCCAAAGAGCAACTCAGCCCGGCTGCTTCTAGATCATGGATGGCGTTCCAAAAAAATATTCTTCTGTTAATCAAAGAGCAGATCAATATCTTCCGTGGAAGATTTTTCCAAGAGGTGCTAAAGAAACAGGTGAGATGAGGAATGGTTGAATTAACGAGAATGAAAAATTCCAGATACGAATTATTTTCCTTTCGATTGACGAGTAATTTGTTGTTTTTATTTTAATGTCTTGAAGGCGAGAATTGTTTGTTCACCTCTTTTCAAGGAAAGCCATTTCTTCTTTTTACTTACTGTTCGCTATCTTTCAGCGTTTAACTTTTTGATATATTCTACAGAATATTCGATTCGCGCAGATGACTATATACTTTATCCAGTAGATAGATAGATAGATAGATAGATAGATAGATAGATAGATAGATAGATATGAACATATTCAGATAGATAGATAGATATATACATACATATATGCATACATACATACATATCAACACAATTGATAGCGAGTTAGATGGCTATATAGATAGATAGATAGATAGATAGATAGATAGATAGATATAGATATGAACACATTCAGATAGATAGATAGATAGATAGATAGATAGATAGATAGATAGATGAACAATGAACACATTCAGATAGATAGATAGATAGATAGATAGATAGATAGATAGATGCATATACATACATAGAACACAATTGATAGATAGTTAGATGCATAGATAGATAGATAGTTAGATAGATGAATAGATAGTTAGATAGATAGATAGATAGATAGATAGATAGATAGATAGAGATTGCAAAATGTAAAAACTCAAAAATGCAGCATAAGAAAATCGCGTTGCGTCAAAATTCGAAATGAAGTGTAATTATCTGGAAAATAACTACTTTATCCGAATTTAAAAAAAAAAAACGTTCACCGACGCTGGAGATGAGTACACAACTATCACTGTCACTAATTTACAAAAAAATAACAAATAAACAAGGAAATAGACAAAAGCAAAGTGCAATTTCTGCATTTTCCGTATCGTAATTCTCACTGACGAATGTGAGATTGAGAATGTTTGTAGCAACGATCTTTGCTAGAGAATATCTTGTTCGTAATAAAAGCTGTCATTTACTTTGCAAGTCAGCAAAGGAATTTCGCCATCGACTACAATTGAATATGTCCGAATCTTCTCTGCTGACGTGAGACTCAAGACATGTTATTAGATGTGCACAAATATTTCTACAAACCAGATTAAAGTATTTTCTAATTTTCTAATATACATGTAGTTATAAATCAGAAACTTTACAAATAATTCATAGTTAATGTCCCCAGAAGAATATTCCTCGGAGGTCCTTTAATGTTCTACTCATGAAATAATCTATTAATCTTCACTCAGCATTTTTAAGTAAATTTAAACTGATATTTAAAAACTGGCGGCGTGTGATTTTAAATAAACTCGTTGACTATTGCTTGTTTAGTTACTTGGATTTCCACTGAATATTTTTTTTTATTGGAAACTTGTCTTAATTTTTCTAAATATCTATCGATAAGTAACAGATAAATATATAAACAAAAAAGACCTTATTCATCCACAACGTACGGACATAAAAGTGGGTTATTTGAAAATGTTATGTGACCACACTATCCGTGTTGATGTGCCAAAATGCATCATTGTACATTCTCATACTTCCTATTTCTTTCTTTCTTTCTTTCTCTCTTTTTTCTTTCTAAGTCTTTCCTATCCATCTCAGTTATACATTTTTGTTTACCTCTCACCCAATCCCCCCTCTCTCTCTTTCCCTCTCCTGTTCATTTCGAATTCAATTTGAATTAATGTGTGTCCCAATCTATCTATCTATCTATCTATCTATCTATCTATCTATCTATCTATCTATCTATTACAGTTTGTATCTATTTATTTTTCTGACGTTGTTAATTATCTATCTACCTACCTATCTGCTCATCTCTCCCAGCCTCCCCCTCTCACTCTCTCTCTCACTCTCACTCTTTCTCACTCTCTCTGTCTCTCTCTCTCTGTCTCACTCTGGTTACATTTCTCTGCTTTGTCTACTGCTCCTCTGAATATATATATATATATATATATATATATATATATATATATATATAGAGAGAGAGAGAGAGAGAGAGAGGGAGGGAGACAGACAGACAGACAGAGAGAAAGATAGAGACAAAGAAAAATAGTGACATATTACATTCTGTTCATATGTTTATGTATGTCTGTCTTTCTTTCACACCCTTTCTGTTCATATATATATATATATATATATATATATATATATAGATAGATAGATAGATAGATAGATAGATATTAAAGGAAGAGATATTTTTAAATATATATTATACTTTATTTTTCACATGGAAAATAAAGAATAATATATATTTTAAAAAATCCACATTATAACCAAAAACGTTTTCTACTACTCTCTTCTCTTTAAAATATACACTTTTCTTTCGTTGGAATAACTATAATCTAACCCTTATATATATATATTATATATATATATATATATATATATATATATATATATATATATATATATATATATATATATATATATATATATATATATATATATATATATATATATATTCTACTAATAACTATCTTTATATAAGTGATCATATTTATCGTGTCCAACACACTCACTGAAGGGCTTTTCAAAATCTAAAATTTCTATTTGCTAATCTAACATTTTATATTTTTCATTTCCATTTTTTTTTATTTTATTTACTTTTCAGATGAAATTTAGAAATGAAGATAAAATTTAATGATGCAAAAATCTGATAAGAACAAACAAAGCATTAGCCAAAAATGTTATTTATTTGGAAAAATTCACCTCGCACACACGGATGTGTGTGTCTGTGTTTACGTGTGTTCGTGTGCGCTACTTACCGTAAGTAATTACTAAGTATAGACAGTCAGTCGAACTTTAAATTGTCAACAAATACCTTATCTCTATAAGAAGAAGTCTAAAAGTATTTTGAAAATACATCAAGGTAATTCCCTGTTAATGGGCGCGGATAAAATTTGACTAAATTTTTCCTCGTCTTTTTATATAAAAATCGACCGTAATTAAGATTAAGTAGGCGGTTTATCTTTTTTTTATGTTTAAGCCATGACCACAGTCATCATTACTCAATGGCGTACCGGAGACGATTGCAATGAAGGCGGAATATTTGCCTGCTTTTAGCGTCCATTATCAAAGTTTTGTATGCGTTTGTACCAACAGTTATTGGTGCACAACCTGGAACCGGTGTGTGGGGTTCAAATTCCAGTCTAGTCTTTTCCGTTTACTTTCACATAAATAACGTTTGAAAAGGCATTGATACACTTCCTCATCTTCAGCTTGGGTTTGATCAGTACAATAAACTGGTCTCACTAGACTTGATGGCAGTCGGTCGAGCAGAAAGAACTACACTGAATTCAAAACCATGGAGAAGACAACGTGAGGCCTCTCCTCACTCTTTCAAAATAATTCATGTTAATTCAGAAATAATAAAGAAGCGTGTGAAGAGCCTTTATCGCCAGTCCTAGTGAGATTTCAAAATATTCTGGCAATTGTTCAGGTTGGGGTGTTCTATTTGGTACCACGTCTTCACGAATCTGAGCACAGTACTAGACTGGCTGTTAGGTCTCATCCTTTTACTAACGTTGGAAGCATAATTTCTCTTCTAATAGTTTCTTCTCTCACTCTTCTTGTCAGTAAGATTCTTTTAGAACTTCTGGATTTCCTGCTTACAATCTTCAAATGCAACATTGAATCGTTAAATTTTGTCTCCTTGAAATTTGTTCTTTTGACTTCCGGTCACATCAAATTTAAACACCGGTTTGAGTACGAAATCTAAGTGGAATAAAGTTGTTAGGCAACTTTGTGCAAAGTCAGTACCTAGACGGGTGACCGCTTGAGAATACAAGGTGCTGTAAGCCTGGATGTGCAGGTGGTGTAATTAATAATTTTTCGGAATTGTTAATCGAAGTGCCTAGTTCCAATTCTCGTTAGATTCCTTTAAATACCTTGGCAAGGGTATGAATCCAATTCTTACCATCCAGTTATGGATTAATTCGTAAGATATATATCACTAAATCCATTATTATCTAAAAAAATTCTTACAATCTAAAAATATTTCCTGGATTTAAATAACTTGCAATGGGTTGATAAGCCATAAAAAACAAATCGATCAAAAACTTTTTCTTTTATTTTCCTCATTTTTTTTTCAATTTTCCTTATTTTCTCTCCGCAATAACGTTTTCTCAGTGTCTTATATTCTCAGTAAAATCCTTTGTGCTTTATTGACTTTATCTCCTTGTTTGAGGTGAAATGATTTTCAAAAATGTTGCTTGTAGTAGAATCGATAAACATTTTGATGCGTATTATTCTCATGATTATGATACACCTCTCTATGATGAAACCATAGACATTTCCGAGGTATGAACATAATTCCGTGCATTAAATTACATATCTCCATGGAATTGTAAATCTTTTGCTTTTTATTTTTAATAATTGATTGTGAAGATATTCTAATTATTATTTCAAATCTTCCCATTTGGGTGCTAATGAAGGATGCAACAAAAAGCATCATTAGTTTACCAATTCCTCATTCTTTGACTCTTGCTCTTTTTTAACGGTTAAAATTTCCACAATGAGGAAATAGAATAAAAGAATAATAATCATGTAATGACAAAAGTACGCAGATGTTAGGCTTTAAGAAAGCTTTATTCAACTGTCCTTTTATAGTCCCAGTAAACAATAATAGTTCTCTCAAAAAGCAGAGTAACAAAACAAGGGGAGACCATTCTTGATTGGATGAGTAAGCAACTTGAAAGACGCAAATGTCGAATATTCCCTACCGTCGAGTAGTTAATAGATCCGACTGAACATTGTGACATTATAAATAAACTTTTGAAACAGTTGAAATTAAAATATTTTGGCGTTTGTAACTAAATTTATGTAAGATGTGTGTAGGCAAAAAACATTGGTCTCATTGTTTTAGCTAGATTTTTTTTTTTTTTTTTTGCTACGGGCAAAAACCTTTTATATAGAAATAGATTTACGCGACTCAAGTATTTCAGAAAAGAAAATTATGGGATGTTATTAACTGCCGGACGAGAGAACACTGGTGGGGTATGTTTGTGAAAAACAGAAATTGTTTGTGTTAAAACATTAATTTATTTGAAGTCCTTCAAAAAACGAAACATTCGCTCAATATTAACTGCCATACGAGACAACACTGGCGGGGTATCTTTGTGAATTTGTGCATAGCGCCGATCATGTTTATATATGATAAGCTATATATATATATATATATATATATATATATATATATATATATATATATATATATATATATATATCTGCGTGTGTGTGCGCATGTGTGTGTATTTGTGGGTTTGTGTTGGTGGCCGTGTGTGTAAATGTGTTTGAAATATATAGAGAGCTGAATATATATATATATATATATATATATATATATATATATATATTAACCTTAACCACCCAAATATGCACGTTAAAGTAACGCAAACTGACAGCGTCTAAGAATTTGAATGAAACCTGTCGTGTAATTTATTGGGGTTGTTGTAAATTCTTCCTTTAATGTCGCTCTTATCATTCACCCTTTAGCCATCTATATCTAGAGACGAGACGCGTTAAATTTGAGCAACATCTAGCCGACACACTGGGGGTTAAAATAGGAAACTAAAATGATACATATGACACACTAATATCCTCTCTCCCACCTCACTTCCTCACTTCATTAACTTTGCGTAGACTTGATGAGGTCCGTAAAAAACCTGTAAATTTCTTTTTCATTTTTCATTTCAGCTTTTGGAAGTAAAGTCTGATGATCCAGAACCCTGTTAAAGGGTTATGGTGAAATAGCTTATTACATGGAATCTTAACGTGGTCTGTTTTTTATTCAAACATATCTGCTCTGAATTTCACATTGAGCTCTCTGATATCATCTTCCTCAGGTCTACCAATACGGATTACCTAAGTTTACATAAACTCTCTCTCTCTCTCTATATATATATATATATATATATTATTATTATTATTATTATTATTATGAAAAACAGACAAAAGGAAAACTATACTTAGCCAATGCGTATCATCCCTGAGGGACTTTATGAAGCCAACGACTACATTTGCATTTTGCCTTTCTTTTAACAGATATACTGTATCTAAAAAAAATTAGATATATATATATATATATATATATATATATATATATATATTTTTTTAAGTTATGCTTTATGTTATTGGTAAAAGTGCTCAATATCAGGGATAGAGCGTATGTAAATTTTAAAGTGCGCATTGAAGTGACAGAAGTGACAGTCTGTTTCATGCTAAACTCCATGGCTTGACGATTACGTTTAGCATGAAACAAACTGCCGCCTCTGGATATTGACTTTAATGCCCACTTTTATATATATGTTTATATATATATATATATGTGTGTGTGTGTGTGTGTGTGTGTGTGTGTGTGTGTGTGTGTGTGCGTGCGTTTATCACTGTCTGAAGATGTCTAATCGTTTGATTTTATATCTATGAAGACTTAAGGAAAATATACGTTTTTCTCCCTCTCTCTCTCTCTCTCTCTCTCTCTCTCCTCTCTCTCATGATTAATAATTTTTTGTCACTTCTTCTTTCGGTTCTCTTCGCACATTTCTTTATTGCAGAATTATTCCCCTCACTTTTGGATAGCGTCTCTTGGCCCCAGCCTCGCTTTCTCATATACTCCGTCTAGTAATTAAAGGGACCTTTGGACCTAAATGCAGAACTACTCTAAAAAATATAACAAGAAAAGCAGAGCTGATGAAATTTCACTACAACAAGAGGGCTTCATTTAATTGAACACTTCTTAGGTTGGTTCTCATCGCCTGACCTTAGAACATTAACTTTGATATGATTTTAATTGAAATAAGCAAAGAAGGAACGATTTTCTCCAATTATGCTTTTAGAAAAAATTTACAAAAAGATAATTATGAGACATATTTGAGATGAGGTATTGTAATTACTGTTATTGTCATATTTTTTTTGCCATATTCACTCCGGCCTTCTTCAGGTGATTGGAATTTCGAACTGAACCCTTTATTTTCTGCGCCGGGGTAGATTGTTCTAGTTCCACGGGCCATGACTCTTCCGGATGTCTAAGTTGTCTCCCTTTAATTCAACTTTCCAAGTTTTTGTTTACTGCTGCAGGTATTGAACTCTCTGGGTCAAGTCACCGAATCCAACCCACGTTTGTTGACACATGTCCCATACATGAAACCCAAAACAAAATTATAATACTGAATGCTGCATCCAACCACCGTGAAAATCTAATAAAGGACAGTGTCCAGGTTTATCTAGAAAATTCTGTACTAAAATAATTTTCGAAGATAAAAAGAAAGAATATGAAAAAACTTTAAAAGAAAAGTGGCCCAAAATTAAACTGGAATTTAAACCTCAAATAAAACAAAAATGAAGAATAATTCTTGGGAAAAATTATTATTTAGTTTAACCACACCCAAAAGTCAAATGTAAAATAGGGAAAATATTTTTCGAGACACTTCCCGCAAAATTCCGAATCCCACAAGATCTTTGACAAAAACACAGTTAAATAAAGCTACAGATGTACTAGCAATTTAGAAACCAAAATAAAAAGACAAAATGCCAGGAATTTCAAAACTAACGTCCAGGAATATATCCATAACAGTAAAAAATGTAACTATAGAGATAAAAGTAGACGACCACTAGATGGAGTTTGCTAAAATGAAAGTGTAATTTATAAAGCCGAAGTAAAAGATACAAATGGCCAGGGCAAAATATACGTTGGGTGTACTGAAGGCAGCTTCAAGAAGAGATGGTATAATCATAAGTCATCATTCAAGCTAAAACAACTTATGAAATCTACCAGATTACCCAGACATGTGTGGAAATTGAATGAAAAATATAACAAAGATTCGATTGTAAACGGGGAAATTTTAAAATAAAAAAGCCAAACCTTACAGCAATCATAATAATATCTTCAGTCTTTGCAAGAAAGAAAAGTTCACAATAATAACATTTCCAGACAAGAAAAACCATCTGAAGGAGAAATCAAAAATAATAGTTTTTGATATATAAAAAAATATATCGTTACCCTATATATATATATATATATATATATATATATATATATATATATATATATATGTTTGTGGTATAGATATTTTCCAATTTTCTTGGTCGGATTCGTGTTGTCGGATCAAAACTTCTTGTTATTAATGACTATTAATAAACGGTCACGTGACTACCATCGGATTTCCCCGAGGTTAGTAAGAATCTACTTGATTCTCTGCAAACTATCTTGGTTCTGTCCTCTTCCAGAGAGTAGGAAAACATCACACACACACACACACACATACACACACACACACGCACGCACACTGAAACACAAACACACATGTAGATAGATAGATAGATAGATAGATAGATAGATAGATAGATAGATAGATAGATAATATTAGTGGTCACAGGAGGTCAAAACAGGAAAGAGGGATCATCATTTAAACTTAGAGATAAATACATCCTTATTGCTCAAAGTTCAATTGTGTTATAAAAACCATGGAGAATTCCAGTAAGATATTTTTAATCATTTCTAAGATACAACGGTTCAAACTTAATCTAAAAATTAGGCAATGTTGGTGTTACACCCGGTATATATATATATATATATATATATATATATATATATATATATATATATATATATATATATATATGGGTGTGTGTGGTGTATACGTGATAATAACATGATCTTTAAATGATCCATTTTTTTTTCCTTTTAAATCTTCAACCTTTTCCCAAACACTCACAATCGGAATGCGTCTTTGTTTGTAGCTTTTCTCCTGATTAAATGTCAAAATATTACTTTCGTCCGTACAGTTCCTTCACATTTTCACCTCGGTGACAGATTTCGTGTTAATTGGTATATTAAGTTGTGATTTCACTAATGTTTTCTTGCTCCCTCTAAAAGATTGCTGCTTAAATACCGGGAAGTGATTGACTTGCAAGTCAGCAATGCACCCACATTGTTCCAATTAAATCAAACACGCAGACCAAACACAGGCACATTAAAATGCATCTGGGAACGAATCTTTTCTTCAATACAAATTCAGTTTAAAGAGAGAGAGAGAGAGAGAGAGAGAGAGAACAGTTGTTTATTAATTATTCCAATATTGCTTTTAATTTAATTATATAATTAAATTTAAAGATTTTAGCTTCCATTTTTGAAACATGGTTATTACTGTGTAGCGAAAAACATTTTTTAAATCATTTAATTTATAGTATATATATATATATATATATATATATATATATATATATAAGTGAGAGAGAGAGAAGTATAGTGTTGATACTTCCTATAGCCACTATACTCCAATAAACGCTCCATTTCCGATATTGACCATAAATATAACAAATTTTAAATAATATATTTTCAAATCCTTATAAAACGCAAGGGATTACAGATTGTGAAAGAATTTGAGAAAAATAAAAACATTAAGGAGAGATTAAAATTGATTGAACAAAAATTAAGAAGACAAACGATAAAGACTGATAAAAAGTTGACTGGTAAGTAAGTAGCCGGAAGATAGTTTCTACAGTTACATCTAGCCATTTCGACTCTAAAAATGACGAGACCTAACTGCCAATGTAGTACTGCGCCGAAGTCAAGTAGTAAAGCCGAGGTGCCAGAGAGTAAAGATACTCTGATATGATATAAATATATATATATATATGAAATGAACAAAGTCCGACAATTATTTTTAGGAGATTTTTTTGTTTATACATTTTTTTATAGATACAAATATTTAAGTAAATGCTCTGTTTATAATAAACAGTATTAAACAACATTTACCGGCCTGAATGTCCGAGAAATTTTCATAGAAAATATTCGTTTGATTAGCAAGGTCGAATTTACTGTCTTTAAATTTTAATCTTCCATGATTCTCTCGCGTACATGCTTATCTGCTCATGGCGTATCCAAATGTAAACAAATGACGTCACACATTATGAAATGGCCAAAGTCCGACAATTATTTTTAAGACATATTTATGTTTATACATTATTTTTATAGATACAAATATTTAAGTAAATGCTCTGTTTTATAATATATCGAACGCTTCTCTGTGGCTCGACCGGTTAAGAGCACGTCAAACTAAATATAGGATATAGGTTCAAAACGAATATTTTCAGAGAAAATTCTCGGACAAATGTTGAATATTTTATTATAAAAAGAAAATTTATTTGTATCTATAAAAAATGTATAAACATAAAAATGTCTTAAAAATATATATATAGTCTCAATCTTTTTGATTTCGTCATGCACATTGTTTGTGCCACTGCACAGAATAATAGGTCAGTTGCCATCTTTGATGAAAAAAGAGGGACAAAATTTAGAAACCGCATGTACTACCTTTGGCATTCGCTGTCAAGACAAACAGAACGTTTGGGTGTCAATCTGAGGGTACGGATGCAGAAAGAGTTGAATGAGTCTAATGGCGAAAATTGTTTGGAGTGATGACGAGATTGTCAATTTTTGCGACCAAATCACCCCTTAAATCTGGCCACCTAACATGTCAGACTACAACCGACTTGATTATTATGTTGGGGTGCAGTTCAGCGAAATTTGAACTTCAAGTATTATGGAAACCAAAGTTGCAGGATATTCCGAAGTTGTCTGGATGTCGTGGTCGAAGGCAATGACGATTATATTGAATAAATTTACTCTTTATTATTCCAAGATATTTTTGTGCAATTTTGGTAAATATATCTGTTATAATGAGATGTCAGTGTTATTTTCTTTTCTTTTACGTAATTTAGAAAACAGTTTATAATTTATCCATTGCACCATATATATATATATATATATATATATATATATATATATATATATATATATATATATGTGCGTGTGTGTGTATGTGTGTATTTTAAATATTTATATATGTATAATGCTTTTTAAATCTGATATAATTTCTTCTTATAAAAACGTTATTTTTAGTCAGTACAATGTTTGAATAGATATCCATATCTCTAAACCGGAAGATATTACTTGCAGTCTTTAATAAATACGGATGTGAATGTCTACTCAAAAGCGTGTGGACAGTAAATATAACTTCAGACTAGAAGATTGTGCCAAAGCCTGAGACAGACTGTCGCCTTGCCGTGTTGATTTCTGTGTCTAATTTTAAATTTACATACGCTCTATCGCTGATATAAATATAGCACATATTAAAAGTATATTTTTGTCATATATATATATATATATATATACATAAGAAATTAACTGATTTAAAGTATGGTTTCTTCGCTAGTTCCTGTGTAGCGAAAAAAAAACATATTTTAAATCAGTTAATTTATAATATTAATGCTCTATAAATTTACATTGAGCACTGTTTTGTAAAAATAAAAGATATCAATAAGAACACAATAATATAAATATATATGTGCATATATGCATATATATAAATATATATATATATATAGATATCTGCAGGGAGGAAATCATTCATACCGTTTCTTTTTTCATTCCGAGCTACTCTCCATTATCAACTGAGCGACTTAACAGATTAAGAGAGATCGCTCGATATGAACAGGCTGAAATTAGATAGATAGATAGATAGATATGAACAGACCGATATAACAGAGATATATATATATAGATATATAGATATATATATATATATATATATATATATATATATATATATATATATATAT